CCTATACCAGCCTGTGCCCACCTCTATACCAGCTTGTGCCCACCTCTACACCAGCCTGTTCCCATCCCTATACCAGCCTGTGCCCACCTCTATACCAGCATGTGCCCATCCCTATACCAGCCTGTGCCCACCCCTATACCAGCCTGTGACCATCCCTATCCCAGCCTGTGCCCATCCCTATCCCAGCCTGTGCCCATCCCTATCCCAGCCTGTGCCCATCCCTATCCCAGCCTGTGCCCATCCCTATCCCAGCCTGTGCCCATCCCTATCCCAGCCTGTGCCCATCCCTATCCCAGCCTGTGCCCATCCCTATCCCAGCCTGTGCCCATCCCTATCCCAGCCTGTGCCCATCCCTATCCCAGCCTGTGCCCATCCCTATCCCAGCCTGTGCCCATCCCTATCCCAGCCTGTGCCCATCCCTATCCCAGCCTGTGCCCATCCCTATCCCAGCCTGTGCCCATCCCTATCCCAGCCTGTGCCCATCCCTATCCCAGCCTGTGCCCATCCCTATCCCAGCCTGTGCCCATCCCTATCCCAGCCTGTGCCCATCCCTATCCCAGCCTGTGCCCATCCCTATCCCAGCCTGTGCCCATCCCTATCCCAGCCTGTGCCCATCCCTATCCCAGCCTGTGCCCATCCCTATCCCAGCCTGTGCCCATCCCTATCCCAGCCTGTGCCCATCCCTATCCCAGCCTGTGCCCATCCCTATCCCAGCCTGTGCCCATCCCTATCCCAGCCTGTGCCCATCCCTATCCCAGCCTGTGCCCATCCCTATCCCAGCCTGTGCCCATCCCTATCCCAGCCTGTGCCCATCCCTATCCCAGCCTGTGCCCATCCCTATCCCAGCCTGTGCCCATCCCTATCCCAGCCTGTGCCCATCCCTATCCCAGCCTGTGCCCATCCCTATCCCAGCCTGTGCCCATCCCTATCCCAGCCTGTGCCCATCCCTATCCCAGCCTGTGCCCATCCCTATCCCAGCCTGTGCCCATCCCTATCCCAGCCTGTGCCCATCCCTATCCCAGCCTGTGCCCATCCCTATCCCAGCCTGTGCCCATCCCTATCCCAGCCTGTGCCCATCCCTATCCCAGCCTGTGCCCATCCCTATCCCAGCCTGTGCCCATCCCTATCCCAGCCTGTGCCCATCCCTATCCCAGCCTGTGCCCATCCCTATCCCAGCCTGTGCCCATCCCTATCCCAGCCTGTGCCCATCCCTATCCCAGCCTGTGCCCATCCCTATCCCAGCCTGTGCCCATCCCTATCCCAGCCTGTGCCCATCCCTATCCCAGCCTGTGCCCATCCCTATCCCAGCCTGTGCCCATCCCTATCCCAGCCTGTGCCCATCCCTATCCCAGCCTGTGCCCATCCCTATCCCAGCCTGTGCCCATCCCTATCCCAGCCTGTGCCCATCCCTATCCCAGCCTGTGCCCATCCCTATCCCAGCCTGTGCCCATCCCTATCCCAGCCTGTGCCCATCCCTATCCCAGCCTGTGCCCATCCCTATCCCAGCCTGTGCCCATCCCTATCCCAGCCTGTGCCCATCCCTATCCCAGCCTGTGCCCATCCCTATCCCAGCCTGTGCCCATCCCTATCCCAGCCTGTGCCCATCCCTATCCCAGCCTGTGCCCATCCCTATCCCAGCCTGTGCCCATCCCTATCCCAGCCTGTGCCCATCCCTATCCCAGCCTGTGCCCATCCCTATCCCAGCCTGTGCCCATCCCTATCCCAGCCTGTGCCCATCCCTATCCCAGCCTGTGCCCATCCCTATCCCAGCCTGTGCCCATCCCTATACCAGCCTGTGCCCACCTCTATACCAGCCTGTGCACGTCTAAGGCTGACGGCTTAGGGGGGGTGCAGACATATCTAAGGACTGGAAGTTTGGGGGGCGGGGGTGGTGCCGACACATGAAAGGACTTTTGCTGAGTTTCATTCCCGGGAGCCCTCGGCTCGGCGGAGTCCCCCTTTAAGTGCTGACGTAGGCTGTGCATGGAACATGAGCGGGGGTGAAGCGTCGTCGTGCCGCCTGACACCGGGGAAACAAAAGACGCTCCCGGTGACAGTGTTGCCACAACAACGCCACATGCGTGCCAGCTCCCCTCCCCCCCTCTGTGAGATCGCCGTGCGTCCTGCGAGATGAATCCAGTTCACTCCTCATCTCCTCCGGTGAATCTTCCGGTGAATCCCTGAGGAGGGGGGGAGGGGGCGCCGCGTGTCTATGAGCAGAAAATCTCTCAGCGATGGGACGAGGTCAAAGAATGTGCCCCGTAATCACCCCGGGGGGAGGGGCTGGGGTAATCAGCTTCTATTGTACTACTTCCCCCATCATCATCTGTCAGCCGCCATGCTGGGAGTTTTAAAATGTATTTTAGACAATTTGCTGAGTTCTGAAGAACGGTCCCCCCCAAAACTGATATTTCATTGCCGGAGAGTGAAACACCCCCCCCCCTTGTATCTGGCTCAG